ATGTTTTTTGGGCATTTTTCGAAATATCCGAGAATTTCAAGAAATTATCAAGCCAATTCAAACATAAATCATGGACAAATATAATCAATAATCAACGAGTTTATTGCCGTCGACAATACCACTGCCAATAACAACGCCGCCGATGGGAACGATCATTGGTATAAAGGCAAAACCCGCTGGATTGACGAAACATTTGGTCAAGCTGGACTGACACAATAGTTTATGTTTTATTAATTGCATTTTTGGAATAAGTAAAATTAAACAATCTTCACAGCACAAAGTTATTGATGATTTCCTTCTTCTTCAAAAAAAAAAAAAGTTATTGATAATTTTAATTGGCAGAGTAATTCCGAATATTATTATTGTAAATCTTATATATCTTCCTCGAAGCTTACGAACCATATCAATTTTTTAAAAAATAAAAGAAAATTCCCATAAATACAGTTTATCAAAATAGCCAAGAAATATCGTCGTAAAGGTGAAATAATTTGTTCTTGAGGTGGGACTGGGAAGTGACCAAGAAATCACCAAAGACAATGTCTTTCAAGAAAGCTACATACTTTTCAGTCTTCAAGGTAGTTGCATGCTCTCTTCAGATTTATCATGGACATATAGCCGGAAATTTTTGAGGTCTTAACACGTAGTACTCGTATCACGGCCTGTTTAGTGTTTGGTACGAACATGTTGATAGTGATGATAATGAATTTATACACTCAAACCACTTCAATGTCTATAATAATGTTTGTACGTGATTGCATATTCAATTCATATTCGTATTATATTATACATCCATGCAACCTTTAGGTTACATCATATCCAAATATTGTGTTATACACGTAAATTCATACGAAGTATAATACTTGTATATCTACGTAGTAAGTGCATAATATGATGTTGATAACACATGAACTAGTGAAATGCATGATTTTTCCAATAAACTTCTAGTCTTCTAGATGTAGGGTATTATAAAAAAAAACATGATAAATATACAGTATTTTTGTGCCGCAACATTGAAAACCGTACTAGCTTCTAAATTTGATTTTCTTATAAAAGTCATTCATATGCAACAAATTAAAATAATGTCTTACCTCTCTAATTTTTGTCTAGTACCCTAACAAAATAAAATTAAGTGGCTCATAAAATCTCACTACTCTATCCTACATTCTCCTACGTAGTGGAAAATATATAGCCTCAAAATTAAAAATTAAATAAAATAAAAATAATCTAGAAAAAACGTTGAATTGGTCAAGATAGAAGCTTCTTATGAAGCCAACTCACATTGAATATGATAGTTCTTAGAAAGCCACCAAACTTTACAACTTCAATAAATAATGTTGGTCTAGAATTTGAGGGACAAAGTATTTAGCATTATGATATTAACCTAAACATCTCCTATTTAAATACAGTATACTTATTGGGTGCTAATTTAGGTAGTCTTAATCTCGATCAAAATCTATTTATTTCGTATTGGAATTCCTGTTCTTACACAGTTACTAATTTAGTGCATGATATAAGCCTGGGAGATAGTTTAACCACTTATTAAACCTAGTTGACTTCAATAATTTCAATTTGGTTATTAATTAGTTGTTAACATCATTATGGGAGTGTGTGACTCGAACTATTGATTAGGCCGTGCAGGTATATGTCCGTTTCTGTCACATTAAAATTCGTACTCAAATGTGTCTTTTGTCCACCGCCATATAAATAAGTCCTATAAAGAGGATAGGTTGGTTCGTTTTAAGAGAATCTATTCTATAATAGCGTTGAACAACATATGATTTTGTTAAGGAACATAATATAACAACGGCTAGCTTTAAAGACCAAACTTCATCAAAAGAGACTATATATATGATGTAGCTAGCCCAGCTACAATAATGTGAAACTAATACAACAGAGTGTACGTACATTTCATTTACAAAATTTTAAAAAACATTATTGTTACGATAAATATCGAAACATATTGATAAGAAATTATTTGTCCTATCGATCAATGTATGCCTAACAACTATGATTTAAACTTTTTATAGTAATAAATATCTCGACATAGATAATATATATACAGATAAGTGACACTCAATGTCAAGATATATACTAAATGTAAAGGAGACAAACATATATTCTAACTTTGTCGCCACTTAGCTTGATAAAATCATCTTCAATGTAACAAGAAGTTTAGCACGGCTAGTAACCTTTGAAAATTATGCACATAATAATTAATATGATAAGAATCTAACTAGAAAAGTAAAAGACATGAATAAGTGTACCAAGGTTATATTTGCAGAGGTTGTCTGAATCAATAACTGCTCATGTTCTTAATGACAATAACTAGGTTCCGTTAGTATTTTTAGATTTCATATTAATAAGATTACTTTTATAATATGAGGCCTAAATATAACAACAATATTATCGGTATTTTTTAATTTTATATTGATACAATTACTATACTAACATGAGATATAAATGTAATAACAAATACCTATTATTGTCATTCATAACAATAGTAATTATGGGCATGACAAACCCGTAGAAGAAGTTATATAATCATTATTATCATCCTCTATGCATGTTATAAACAGAGAAACTTTTTCAATGCACACTTTTTTCAAAGACTTTTATTTCGGCATTTTTAGATTAGCTTGTTATTTTCAAGTATTTGGACGCTTCTCTTTGTCCTTTTGCGATGGTTTTAGATGATGTCTTTCTTTTCTCAATATTAAGATTGTTATCTTTTGATCTTCTAAATTATATGGTTCTCAGCTACTCTCATTAATTCTGTCATCTTAAACAGTATTGAACTATTGGTTTTAAGTACGTATTTCTTCAACATTTCTTTGTCTTTGACAAAATGCGAGGAGAAAAGATGGAAATATATGCACCGTTTTATGGGGAAAAAACTCAATGTTTTGGAACCAATATTGCATCCAAATAAATAAAATTAATGTTACATCAACGGGTTTTAGTAATTTAATATTATGTTCAAGCTAATTTTTTTCATATTAAGATCATGTGTTAATTTAGCGTAATTCCGTTCATCTATATCAATTGGTAATGTATGTGTTTTCCTACATTGTCTAATGTATTAATGTAAGTGTACATACATTATTGAACACATTTAAACTTGTAAATTAAATCAAAAGTTCATTACTAACAATATAAAGTATATTTGATCACATGTAAATCAAGACTTCCTGACTAGCTAATATATAATTCGTATAATGTTATGTGCATGTAACCTTAATTACCTTTTCGTGGACCTAAACTACTATTTTTGGTATGCACACTAATTCACAAAAAAAATCTGGTGTGTCAAGATTTTTTTAATTTATATTGTGTAAATAAAGTACAAAAATACGAGCAAATAAATAAGCTTGATTGTATCATACTCAAGGTACAACAAATTGCACATAACAATTGCCCTACCCTCTCCAAGTAGAAAAGATTAAACTTGCAATAAGTTTAGAGAGCCCAAACCAAAAAGTACATAGACTATAATGCTGTTGATAGATTCAAAGGGCCCAAAAGAAATGTCAAAGGATAAAATTGGCAGGAAGCTTTCTCTATTTAATATCAGAGCCAGGTTTCGATCCTGGGACCTGTGGGTTATGGGCCCACCACGCTTCCGCTGCGCCACTCTGATTTGTTGTTATAAATTGCGCCAAATAAATATAAATATTAATTTTGTCTGCTCAGAAGACACAAAACAAAACTCTTACCACGTATCTGGTGAATTTCTTCTTCTACTGTAATCTTTTTATAGGAAATCTGCTAAAGTTGTTCAACAAGCATCTCAATGAAAAATTGTTGAGATATCGAAAATCCTAAAGTAGAAATGGGAGGCGATAAAAAGGGGCGAACAAATGCCAGGAAGACGCATAAGTGACATACTCGTAACATGACAGAAAGTTGCTTCCCTTAGAAGACAGCTTTGGGGATCAAACCTTGTTCAAGATTTTTCACATAACCTTCCATATTTTGTTGCAACATAAAACTAGGAGTCAAGAATCTTTCCGGTGAGGGTAATTCATAACGATATTTCTATTACTAATACTGCTTGTTGCCACACTTCTACTGGTAGAGGGTAACTCGTAACGATATTGCTACTGCTAATGCTGCTTGTTGCCACACTTCTACTGGTACAGTAGAGGGTAACTCATAACGATATTGCTACTGCTAATGCTGCTTGTTTCAACAATACACACATCACTATTCAGTCCAGCATGCTATAATTGATGATTTATCGAAACTAATTGCATTATTTACACCACAGTCCACAAGGGTAGTAATTTAATTGGACAAACAAATAATTATATCATACGATCAAGAGTACATTCTGCTGGTTCATTATCATTTACTGAGTGATCATCTTCTGATGCTATTCATTTCTGGTACACAAAAGCAAAGACTACTATACAATGAATACACACAATCATTATCTCAATTCACAACCACGAGTATATTGAGCAAAGCATCACTCGTCAACACCCATGACAATATCAACATTGAGAAAGTAGTTTGAGGTTTTCCTAAAGTCACCTAGATAACACAACAAGATTAAACAAAGAAATTGAACTAAAATTTTACTTCGATTTGAAAGTTTTGATTCGTTAACAAGTAGATGTTTAGAAGGCAGGACAGTCATTGTAGTATAAATAAAAGTTTTAAGTGTTATAAGTGAATTAACAATCTTGAAATGTATGTCAAAAAGAAAAAAAAGAAAAAAAAATCCAATCTTGAAATGAATTGAACTACCAAAATTCAACCATTCAAAAGAGGAAGAACACAGTAAGTTAACTTATCAGATACTCATAATAAGCTTAAAAAAGGGGGGTCATAGAGACAATTAAAGAGCATTCTGTTATTTTATTTTATTTTATTTTTTTTTTTTTTAAAAAAAAAGTGTTTATTTGATATTTTCAACAAGATAGAAGGAATTCATAGCCCTGCATTCGGAGACCTCTTTATAACAAAAGATTCACAAAACCAAAGGATTGTGCATGCAGTAAAACAAAGCAATATACAGACATAACCATAAAATGAATTGCAAGCAAACATCAATATAGTCCAGAGACGCCAGGTTCATTTTATTTATTTATAGCAGGTTAGCAACCCACATTACTAACCATAATAGCATCATCACCGATTCACCGCCTTAACACAATAACACCAATAGTCCACAATATCATACCATTGTACTAACATAGACATATCTAGACCATATTAATAAGTTCCGATAAAAAGGAAATATCACACGTAACACCTAGAGAAACCCTGCTGCAGTGAACGGCATAATAGCTTCAGAACTTCAAGCATCACCCCCACGAAGACGGAGAACAAGATGGAGGGTAGACTCCTTCTGAATGTTGTAATCAGCCAAGGTTCGACCATCCTCCAATTGCTTCCCTGCAAAGATGAGCCTCTGCTGGTCTGGGGGGATACCCTCCTTGTCCTGAATCTTGGTCTTCACATTCTCAATTGTATCAGAAGTCTCAACCTCGAGGGTGATAGTCTTCCCAGTGAGGGTCTTCACGAAGATCTGCATACCACCTCTGAGGCGGAGGACCAAGTGCAGGGTTGATTCCTTTTGGATGTTGTAATCAGCCAAAGTCCTGCCATCCTCCAGCTGCTTCCCAGCAAAGATAATCCTCTGCTGGTCAGGTGGAATGCCCTCCTTATCTTGAATCTTCGTCTTCACATTGTCAATTGTATCTGAGCTTTCAACTTCTAGGGTGATGGTTTTCCCAGTAAGCGTCTTAACAAAGATTTGCATGCCTCCTCTCAACCGGAGCACTAGGTGCAAAGTAGATTCCTTCTGGATATTGTAATCAGCCAATGTCCGGCCATCATCCAACTGCTTCCCGGCAAAGATCAGCCTCTGCTGGTCTGGTGGGATTCCCTCTTTGTCCTGAATCTTTGTCTTAACGTTATCGATAGTGTCAGAGCTTTCAACTTCCAGGGTGATGGTTTTTCCAGTGAGAGTCTTCACGAAAATCTGCATACCTCCTCTCAAACGGAGAACCAAATGCAGAGTAGACTCCTTCTGAATGTTATAGTCTGCAAGAGTCCGACCATCCTCAAGCTGCTTCCCTGCGAAAATAAGCCTCTGCTGGTCTGGTGGGATCCCTTCTTTATCCTGTATCTTTGTCTTCACATTCTCAATGGTGTCGGAAGTTTCAACTTCCAAGGTAATCGTCTTGCCTGTAAGAGTCTTGACAAAGATCTGCATACCACCCCTCAGACGGAGGACTAAGTGGAGGGTGGACTCCTTTTGGATGTTGTAGTCAGCTAGAGTTCTGCCATCATCCAACTGCTTACCAGCGAAGATGAGCCTCTGCTGGTCCGGTGGGATACCCTCCTTATCTTGAATTTTGGTCTTGACATTCTCAATAGTGTCAGAAGTCTCGACCTCGAGGGTTATGGTCTTCCCAGTCAGGGTTTTCACAAAGATTTGCATCTGCAACACACAAGGTCATAAAAACAAACAAGTTAGATAACAGAGAGATCCACATGAAACCAACAACAAACCACAAATCAGTCTGCACTTGCACCAAAATCATTGAATAAAAAGGATAAATACAATTATACTGAACACAAAAGCAGGAGTGCCACATAAATTCAAAATACAAGGACACAAGACTAAAGATTGTTAAGGTGTTATGGCCAAAAAGGTTTTATAACGATCATTTCAACACATAATTTGAAGAACGCAAGATTAAAATATTTGCAGATAATTTGAAATCGCTTTATTTATTAAATTTTTGGATGGTATAGCATGATTGACAAAAACAAAAGATAACTTGTGAAAACTCAAAGAAATCACCATACAATAGTCATAAGCATGTCCTATCTATCCTATGATTTTTTGAAATCTAAACAACGACGATGAAAATTCATATTGAAATAAATCGAACGTCAATCAAGTAATTGATCACTAAAAAGAGTCGCAGAAACATAGAAATCAAACAAGAAAAGTAAAAAAGAAAATCGAAACCCTAAGATAAACTGATATCAAACGAACGAACTCATAAACACAGTTTGATAGAACATACAATATGGAATCATAAACAAATTTACGCCAAGATCATGAACAAATCAAACATCAGCATCATAAAAAACAAATTCAACTAATTCAGTCACATAAAATCAAGAATCAGAACAAATTAACGCTAAGATCATAAACATCAACAGCAGAAAGAACAACTTCAACGTATTCAACATTATAAAATCAGAAATCACAACAAAATAAACCTAAACACACACACACAAGCACACAGCAGAAAAATCAAACGCTTAATCAAGTAATCATTAATCAACGACTATACAGAATCGCAGAAACATAAAAATAATTCAAGAAACGTAATAAGGAAATCAGAACCCTAAGATGAACTGAAATCAAAAGAAAAAAAAACTCGAAAAAACAGCATGATGGAGCAAAAATCATAATTATACAACACAATGTTAAACAAATTTACGCCAAGATCATGATCAAATAAAAAAAATCAGCATCATCAACTACAAGTTCAACTAATTCAGTACTAAAAAAACAATCATCAAAGCAAATCAACGCTAAGATTATAAACAAAATCAACATCAACATCATCAACAACAACATCATCAACAACAACATCAACAGATTCAACATTATAAAATCAAAAATCACAACAAAAAAAACACCTAAAACAGAGACACACAAACACACAGCAGAAAAATCAAACAAAAAACGAGAAAAGATTAAGTAGAAACTCACATTGAATTAGGAGCGAAAAAAGTCGGAGATTAGCGAAGAGAACCTAACCCAAAATTGAGAGAGAGAAAGAGAAAATTAAAGGTGAATTGTGTTAGGGTTTGATTATGAGAGAAAATAGCAGGTTGTGAAGGTGAAAGGGATTAAGGAGGAGGGTTTAAATAGGAAAAAGAGGAAGTTGAGATAATTAAGCTAGGTAACACACGAGTTACGCGTGTCAAAAGTGACAACGTTTGATCTAATCAAATAAATAATATTGCCGGATATTCTGGAATTTATTGGTATATAGTTTTCAATTTTAAGATATCTTTGTTACTTTTATTTGGACTATACTATAGATAAGATAAGGTTTTCAATTTTTTTCTTTTTGACTATACATTTGAGGTTAGTGATGATGTCAGTGGTTGTTATTTTAGTATTATTTATTTATTTATGGACAAGTTGTTAGAATAAACTATTTAACGAGTTCTTTCAAAAAAAAAAAAACTATTTAACGAGTAGTTGTTTTGTTGGTTGACTAATTAAAATGACACATTAGGACATTTAAATGAAAAGGCATAACTATATTGATATGAAGAGTAAATATGAACAACTTTAAGGTAAAATAGCCATTTTATTACTTATGTTTTTACAATTTCATTTCTTTAAAAAACCTCCCAAATCTAGTTTTTTTTTACAAATTAGCTTATTGAACATAATCTATTATTTTTATTAGATTATTTACTTCATATAGAAATCCGATACATAGTACGAAGAAAATTTTACGGAATACAAGAAAAGAAGATCAGGCCAAAGATCAATTTATATTCAAAACATGGACCTTTAGCTATTAACTATTAAGATGAAATATCGTAAGTACATCTTTGTCCAATTGTCCCTTCCTTCCCTCCAGTAGTTGCTTTAAGATTTAGAAGCCTTTGCTAACTATAAGAGGCATGATGCATCAAACAGGACTTATAGACTTCTAGTATGCAGTTATGCACTAAACTCATGTCAAAATAATTGGTAACAATCAAATGGCTACATTGTTTTTTCTTTTAATAATGAATCAAAATTGTCAATTTTACGCATAACTCATACTTCCTTCATTCTAGTAATATTACAACAACTGAAATTTTACATTATTCATCACACTTGTTTGACAACATATTTATATGTTAAGTAAAATAGTTATGCGGGGTCTTGTTAGATTCATCTCGTAAAATACTTTCACAATATAAACTTTTTATATTTTTTTTACACTTATATAATTATAGATATTTAGCATATAAAATGTGTTTTGAGATGCGTAATTTCGTCCTTGTTGCAATATTTGTGGAATAGGAAGTATATACTTTGTACATGTTTCTTATTTTTTTTATAGATTAATTCAAAAGAAAACCCAATAGGCGATGAGGAAATTATGCATAAATTGGGCAGTTTGCCAGTTTGCATTATAAATTCAAGCATATAAATATGCAATACACCAAAGACTTACTCGTAACTTAGACTACTGGGCAAGCATCGATCAGTTTACAGACAGCAACGACTTGATAGATTGATACTCATAAGGTGTATGATAGAGAACAGGAACACCACTTCGTACAAGGTAAAAGGTTGCAGTATAAAGTGAATAAACATCTCCTATAATTGTATATTTAAAACCTGGAGATAAGAGGTGCACATAATAGCAACTTCACCTCATTAAGTTGAAAGTTTTACTGAACATATTTTTAAATCAACAAACATGTCTAATATATAATTTATTGGATTGCATGAGACCAAAAAAATAACTTTCCCTAACAATTTTGATTGACTCATGGAAAACCAAATTACTGTACAACAACACCTACTCTTCGCATTATCATTCAGGGTTTGATACATATAACACCTCGAAAGGTGAAGCTCACAAGGACACAAGATTATGATCAAGCCAAGTATCTGAACAGCTGAGGGTTCTCCTTGTCTCTTTCAATATAATCTCTGGTGATCAGATCCTCAATCCTTTTCTTAATTGCCTTGAAATCGGGCTGGAAAGATTTAAAAAATTAGTTAGGTAAGTGGTAAAAACTTCGCATACTATTCTTAATGTTACGGAAATTAGGAAACCAGTGGAGCATATTGCCTAGAATATACCTTATACTAATCCAATTATTTTGCCCAATAAACAAATACAAGTAATACATATTTTGTACTGTAAGACTTAACGGAACAAATTCAATCATACAGAAGAATAAGATGTATCCAACAAAAGCAATGCAAGCACCACTGCACTAGATATAATTGGATATCATTACCATTCCCTGCCCATAAATTACAGCTTAGGATCCTTCTTATAACTACGTTCTAGGAAGGATGGCATGGTGAGAAAAACATTGTACGCATAAGATTGAGACAGGAAATAGCCAAATGGGAAACACTAATGATACGACTGAAAGGTTACACAGTGCATTCTCATTCTAAATCTACAAGCTGCAGCAAAGACTGTCTTACAAGGACTTCTAGACTTTTCGTTGTATCAGGGGATAGAACAAACCTTCCATTTCTCACCAAACTATCTCAGCCAGCAAAATCCTATACATTTTTATATCCTAGTTTAAGCAAGTTTCACTTATGCTTGCTATAGTAAAGCAGTTGAATAAAACTTGCATCATTAAAGGAAAATCATTGCTTTTGATTCGATGTGTTTCTTTCTCTACACACTTCACATGGAAGAACTGACTCACTCTTACCAGTCGTATGAGCATACAATCCACAAAAACAGAAATTTACATCACTTTCTACTTGCGGTAACATTTTCTAGTGTTAGTGGTAATTTAGCCCGTAACAAGTTCTGCTGCTTTCAATTAGCTGAATTTTTTCATAATTCAAATATTGATACATAATACATTGTTCCCCTTCTACTCACTCATCAAAACCATAACAAAAACCACAACCAAAAGTCATTCTAATTGGCTTCCACTCAACAATTATTACCCAAGAAATGTGGTCCCTAAAAATAACTGTTCCATGCATCTATTATGCATCAGTTTTTCCACTTTACTTCTCATTTAGAGCAGTTGACACCAAGAATGATCAAATCATAAAAGTATATCCTACATCCATGTACTTCATAATTTATTTTAATAATTCACTGCCAAGCAATTAAGAAATACACTACTACCAGTCTACCACCTCCTAGAAAAGACTGTTGATTCTTCAACAAGTGGGCAATAAAGGTTCACAAATGCACAATCTTAGTTTAAAAAGTGACCCTGGGCGATGTGAGGCGCCACCCAAAATGCCTTGACCTTGCCGAGCGTTGGGCGCAGTGGTGTACAAAAGGCTAGTAAAAACACACCGCGCCTCATACCACCTCAACCAAGGCGCAAGGCCAACACCTGGGCCGCCTCAAGTTCCAACGCGAGAGAGTAGATCTGACTCAAATTGGTGACAAACATCCGCAAGCAACCTCCGGTGAGTTCAGGCACCAGATCTGCCTGCGTTCTACGCTAGTCAAACTTTCCAAGTTTTTTCTTTGACTTGCTCATCTTCTTTGTTTTTCACTCTCTCTCTTCATTCTTCTCCTCTTTCTGTCTTCTTCATTTTCTATCAAAATTGTCACTCTCCTCTTTTCGTTCTTATGAAATTCTTCCTTTTTTGTTCGTGAAAATTCTACCTCCCATTTTTTTGATTTTTCCCCCCTAAAATCTGTTTATTTTATTTTTTGAACTCATATTTGGGCTTAAAAAAAATTAATAAAAAATAATACCAGAATTTTTTTTTAAAAAAAATTGCGCCTCACATACACAAGACACTCAACTTCGCTTTGTGCCTAGGCTCCAGGAACCCTTTACGCCTTGTACTTTTTAAATCTAAGAGCACAACCTTACATTTTAATTTTATCCGTGCAAGAAAACAGAGAAGATATGCGTGACCAAGCATATATATATATATCTAAATTCTTTCTCTGCCATCTTATTTCCCTATTGCATACAGCAACTACCCTCTCCAAACACCCCTTTCCCATCTCTGTTTCATAACGATTATTTCCCGCCTCTACATTGTTTAACTGTTCAGAAATATCCATCTTAATAAAAACTCATCCGACCAAGCCCCAGCACCACATCCAGCCTGCTCTCCTTGTTGGTGATCTTTGCCTCATAATTGTTAAGTTAAATGTATTCAAATCACTATCAATAATCAAACAGCTTTGCTATATTCCAGGGTCTAATTAGTCGAACAAAACCATATGTACAGATTCACAGCTGGATTGAAGAAAAAAAAGGTAGGAATCTAATTAATCATCAAAGTGTGAGGAGTGTAATGGATTCCTCTACCTTACTCCACAACACTAGCAGCAGCAATATAAGTATAAGGCCTAGCCAAAGGTTTAAACAATATTTGTTGATAGAGAAGATGCTATACCTTAAACATGCGGCTTAGCTGCTCCACGCATTCCGTGATTAATTGCTGGTATCCCAAAACCTTCCTACTTTTCATTATGCGTACAATTGAGGCATCAATAGCATATCTTCTATCTTTGTCAACATCTTCAACAACCTTTTTCCTTTCATCCATTGGAGGAAGAGGAATCTAAGCAATCATCAAAACAAAGCAAATTAATCTAAATAAAAAGAACCTTGCAACTTGCAAGGTAATTATTCAGACTAAGGTGATAGGAGAAATACAGAAGAGAGAGAGGGGGGGGGGGGGGGGGGAACATACCCTTATCCTCCTCATTTTGTCCGTAAAATTAGAGTTGAATGAAAAATAATCGTTTGGGGACACAGTTCTTGAGGCTGGCTCCTTTAAAAGAATCTTATACTTAGCGCAAGATAGAGATTGAAGCACTCTAACCAAGTCTTCATCAGCTAAATTTAGTTGAGTTGCTATTTCTGAATAGCTCAGTCGATCTGAGGTGTTAAAGAGCATCAAAGCAGCAGCCTACAAGAATGTACCTCAGGACATTCAATCAATCAATCAGAGCCTTAATCCCATAAGTGGGATTAAGATAATAAAACTGAGGTATCAGACCGTATTTTACCAGGAAATTCTCTGAATCTAATAACTTGAGTCATTAATAACTAACAATGTTCGTTGGTATAAATAGTGCTTAAATGGTATTACCATGATACCAAAATACTCCAACATTAATACCAACAAACGCAAAATGCCTTGTTGGTATCATAGTATGCTTTGTTGGTATCATAGTAATCTTTGTTGGTATTAAAATAATAACATTAAACTACAATTATACCAACAAGTGTTATTAGAGTCATTAATTACTCAAGTTATTAGAGGTTGAGAAATGCTCGTATTTTACCTCAGGATAATTACCTGATAAGTTCCAACAACCAACTCCATTGTTTTTGGACCAAACTTTCCATTAATGTTACAACTTCCCAACGAATAAACCCAGGTCAGCTTCCGGTGTTTTGTCTTAGTTTGATAGAATTGCTTGAAAACTTCAACACATCTCACCTACAAGAAAAACAACAAATTGATATACCCATGCTGATCCATAAAAATCAACTTACATCAAACCACAGAATAATAACTGTGATCTAAAAAGACAATAAAAACACTCGTTACCATCTCAGCAGGAAGGTTAAGATCAGAAGATTTATAACTAGGCCAGAACCCAGTTGTCAAAACTGTCACAGTCAAATCAAGACCTGGACTGGCATCTGGATTTTGTCCAAGATATTCCTCAAAATTCGTCTGATTCTCCCTCGCCAATGTCAAGTCTGTCACCTATATAATAATTAAAAGAGGTTAAATTCTGTGGATTTTGACCACTAAATATATTCAAAGAAATTCAAGGCAATCTACCATCCCCTCCATCTTTGATGTGAACTGTCCTCCGCACTGCTGCTTCAATTTAGTTAGAATGCTTCTTTCATGATCATCATTAGCACTCTTGTCAAATAGCAGACGCCGAGAGAGCTTCTTCCTATTAGAAATCAAGAGAATATTAAAAACTTGAACAGAAACAACCATGCAAGAAATGATACAGAAAAGAGAGGGTCAGGGGTGAGAAGAGGAAATGCTAACCTATAAAATTCAGCAAACAGGTCTTTATCACTGACATATGCAAGAAGCTTCACCACCTGGAGATAGTTGTAAAAAGCACACCTTTAGTAACAAGAAAATCTCATAGTTAAAGATCAAAAGTAGACAGGATTACCTTCTCAAGTGAATCCTCAATAGCCTCGTCACTCAATTTCTCACTACCACCTTTCTTCAGAATATTATCGCAAAAAGAAGCTAGCAGTTCAGCACTTGAACTACCAGCAACACCCTTGTTTAAGAATACCTCAAACGCTTCTTTGAGTGCCTATAGAGCAGCAATAGTTAGCTCTAAAAAAAACAGCACCAGAATACAGATCGCAAATAATTCTTCAAATGGCAAACCTTGTGAAAGATGGTATGGCTGTTGAAGCATTCGGTGACATAAGTCATAAATTTGTCATGCAACTCGATCACTTTCCGGACAAACACCTAAAAGAAAAGGCAAACAAGTCAGCCCAAATATCCTTATCCAAATCATATGACAAGATGAGTTAAGAGACCTACCTGCTCATGTGAACCACCAGCATTTTCAGCCTGCCAAGGAAGCAGTGTTAGCAAGGAAACCGACAACTAGGGCAACTAATACATGCTCCGGAAAGGCAACAAACAAATGTCCAAAATTTTCATTGACCCACATTCCTAACAAAGTATCAATACAATAAATACTACATATAAGAAGAAAAATATTCTATACATGATAGCCATTTACTCGATATCTTAAAGAATCAGACAAATTTCAATGAAGATTGGAGATATCACAGGAATAAGGAAGCATATGGTCGCATAAAATTGGATGATCTTGTATTTCCGCTTCTATCAAGCTTACAACAAGACACTCATTGAATTCCAAACAAAATCTATCTTTCATTTCAAACTTAAAAGACAACATAGGCAATAATATTCATTTTTGCATCACCAATGCAGACATTAGAAATAACATCATAAAGATGATAGGAAAAAAAAAAACACCTTGCTAATTGCAGCATCTTCAGCCTGCTGCACTAAGGTTGTTCCTTCATCGGTTATGTGCTGCAGGAAATCCATACTGTATATTAGCAAACTTACAAGGACAAGTAGATCTTGCTCAGTTGAAAGTATGGAGAAAGCTTCACCTGTTTGAAGATACTGCCAATGGGTTCCAGCCCTTTAGTGACCTTACTGTATAGCCTGTACATTCTAGAAAGATCTTCCACCTAAAGAGATCGAAGAACCAAAGCCAATGTTCTCAATGTAAAATAAACAAAAAACAGAAAACTTACAGGCTGTAAATATTGTAAATGCTATACCTTGTCATCTTTCAACAATGCACGACATCCAGAATTCTCCTTCTCAAGCAATTGATTTTCATAAACCAATAGCAACTCATTTTGTACTTTCTGTGTAGAAGAAAGCCAATAAGACATAAAAAACAAACCATATAAGAAGCCCAAACGTTTTATATGATATAGGAATTTCTAAGGACAAAATCTTTACGCACAATCATCAAAATCTTAGCAATACTAGAAGGAAATTGCTTAACTAGAAGCAATAACTAAATCTAACCTCCAGAAGCTTTGGCTCACTGCTAAAATGTAGATAATGAGCCACTCTATCTTTCTCTTTCTTCAAACATTCCTCCGACTGTATTGTCCTTAAATAATTAAAATGAGTCATACATTGTTTTTTAGGCAAAAATCAAATAGTAGAGAAAAGAAAATGCTTGCCTTCAACATATATTCTGGACATGAGTCCTCCAGAATCCAGCTTGAGGCCTTGCGTGAGTAGTAAGCAGCAGTATCATCTAGCATATGAGCTTCAAAGTCCTTTTCATAGTAATCCATTTGTCCCATTCCAATTTCAACATATATATCAAGAACATTCTTCAGTAATGCTCTATCAATTTGTCCACCCTCCCTTTCTACGTCAATCTGATCAGAAACAGAAAGCCATCTCTCATCTGCATGCAGAACATGTGAAAATAAAACCAGGAAAAAAAAACCCTTCATGCTATGAACTTACCAGAGCTATGACAGCATCCTTGGCTTTGCCAGATACTTCTTGATAAACCTGGTGCAAAAAAAGTTCATTCATGAGTCGGCTCCTCATGTAGAGCAAGAGCATACAATCAAGCCAGGGCAAACATTAATAGAGAACATATATTATACTATTAAGAGAGACATGGAAAGTATTTCAATACCAGATCACGGAAGCAAGTCAATCCAACTTCATGCAAAGATGGAAGTGACCTCCGAGCAATGAAGTACCGATCCAGATAATGGAAGAAACGAGACAACCACCTGACCATTACTTTATGATTTGACCATCTCTTCACAAGCTCTCTCAGCATAAACTCATCATGTTTCTCCCCTAGAGAAGGTAAAACCTGATTCAAAGTAATGGGAGGGAACAGGGAAATGCAGTGTTAAAAGCACAGAGCTCATGCAATGACCAGACTTGGAAGAAACAGTGCCTTAAATCTTGAATTACATATGTTAAACTTGGGAAAATTTCGTGAGAAACTAAAACCAAAAGTGTTATGCGGTCAAGGTTATAGCAATACTGACTAGTTACTAGAATGGATGATTTAAACCAATCTAATTTACACAGAGCAAAATTATATTTGCAAAGATTCAAAATCAAATAGATCTACCACCCGTAGGTAAGTAGTGACAAAAACAACACCATACTTGTACACCAAAACAAATTCCCTTCAATTTACTCATGCCAAGTCATCAACAGGAATGTACAAATACAAAAACAAATGACCCTTGGAAGACTGGCAAAGTGCCAAAAGTTCAAAAAAAATTCTTACTGTTGAGTTTATGTAATCCATGAATGCCTGTTTGTAATTGTCATAGAGCTGTTGAGAATAATCATGCGGGGGTTTCTGAGTACACATGTTATATATTGTCCTACATTTGAATTAGATACTCAGTAATGTGCAACAAATTATCCTAAACCAAAACATGTTATAAATAACAGATAAGGCACCCACGTGTACAGCATCATGTAGTCTTCAGAATTAAAAGGTGGCTCCGTTAACCCTTCCAGAATCCTTTTTAGCTTTGTAATCCCCTTCTCCATGAACTCCCATCCTTGCTCTAGTTCAATAATTTTACGATCGTTCATTATTGTATCTAATTGATTGGCTCAATCACCTATTACACAACACGAAACAAACAGGTTAGCCACAAATTTGTCATACACAACTGATCATGATATCTATCATTAAATCATAGAACAGCTCAAACGAGAAATTAAGTCATGAAATGATATATAACCATAATAAATCCCAGATATATCTAATAATACAACATCTAAGACTATTAATGCACGCCACTTCAATATACAATATTTATACACAGTTGATTAACACATAATAAAATGAGCTGGCAATCTAACTTGGATTATGGGCATAAAAACAATTCCATAAATCCTTTCTTCCCCTCTCCTCCCAGAGGAAAAGGGGTCTGATTGATTTACGAGCACCATCAGATTTCCATAAAGATTGAGCATTTAAACCAGTTTGGGCAATTCGGCATATACTGGGACTGAATTTAATTCCTTACAAGTATTACAAACTTGGAAAACCCTAAATTCTACAACTTTATTAGTGTAACCAAGCAAATGCATACAAAGGCAATGAAAAAGAACTGAAAGGCAGTTTTACTAAAAAAAAATATATATATATAGAATAACAAATCAAATTTCGGATGCTCATTGAGAGATCTATGAACCTAAATTAGAGGACAAAATGGCATGAATTTAAAAAAACCCAAACAATTATTCAATTTTCATTCTGAAAAATTCACCCTAAAAAGCAGAATTGAAGGCCTCACAGATAATCTACTATTCATCTAAACAGCTGAATACAAAAACCCTAATTTGGGTTTAGCATCACTACATCCACACACCCATAAATCGAAAACCCTAACCCCAGAAATGAATCGAATTTATCCAAATTACCTCCCAAAACTTACCAATCAACAAAAAAAATCCCCCCAAAACAACCCGTCAATCTCAAAATGATCGAATTATCAGAAAAATGATCAAACAACAGACAAATCGACTAAAACAATCGAACCAAAAAAAAAAAAAAAAAAAACAGATACATAAAAATAAAAACTTTAGAGCTGAATAACAAAAACAAGTACTAACCTTAACCAGTAAAGCCTAATTAAAAAGAAGAGATCACCTGAGGAATGAAGGTGATGTCACCGGCAACCGGTGGAAGGAGGAGAGAGAAAGAGAGAGAAATGAGGATGCGTTGGAAGTGATGAATTTGTAATTGTGTGTCTGGTTATCTGTGTTGTAGTAAACAAAACCCCGATTGTGTATAATCTTTAGATTCAACTATTCTTCTTTAAGATATGTTTTTGAGTTTTTCAACTCTTATGTTATACTTTAAGTAAGTAATCTTGTTTAAGGTAATTTTCAATACTGTTTGTTTCTTAAGGTGTATTTTTGGAAGATAAACTCAATAAGGAAATGGAGATATTACCGGTATTTTGTTAATCCGTGGTTTATACACACGGGTGTACAGTGCTCATCATACACCCGGATAAATAAATAAAGGCGGAAAGAACATCCTGTGTTTCATAAAGAACATACATGTATTTAATAAAGAACATGTTGTATTTGACAAAAACATGCATTACCAAAGAACATAAAGATATAATTAAAAGAACGAGATAAAAACTTAATTAAATTTTCTGAAAAATTACACATTATTAACGGAAAAAATTTAGAGGTGATAAAAAATCTAGTAGGGTCAGGCCATATCATAATTTATCGTGCCCAAACCCGTAGAAAAGTAGCGGGTTTTCGGGCTTTTTTCTAACCCGATTTGAGTTTTAACTAAAAATGCATTTTTAGGTTTGCCCAAACCCACCCTATTTCGGGCCGGATCGGGTCCGGATGCGAGTCATGCCAATGTTGATCACCTCTTAAAAAATCCTTACCAAAGATATCATTTTTCCAAAAAATAGTTTTCTATCTCTCCAAAAAAAATTCAACTTCCCTTAATAATTTAGTTTTTTTTTACTCTAATATTATTTTCAATTAAAAATAATTTAAGATTCAATATCAAATTTCAAAATACCATATGTTAAAAGAACATAATTTATATTGTAAAGTACATATAGTTAATACCTAAATAACACACTAATCAAACTCAAAGAATGTACGATAATAAAAGTAATTTAAATATGACATATGATAATAAAAATAGAATTTGGGCGTCACTACGACCTTAAAGAACATACACGCCAAATTCAAAGAACATACTTTGTATTATTAAACCCAAAAAAACATATATGTTTATCAACATATGTTAAATAACATAAGTTATAATGTAAAGAACATAAAATTTTACTCAAAAAACACGCTGATCACACTCAAAGAACATATTAAAGGTATGTTCTTTGCCAAACATTGGTATGTTTTTTATCAAACACTATATGTTCTTTCCGCCTTTTTTTGTTTACCCGGGTGCACTATGAGCATGGTGCACCCGGGTGTATCATCTAATTTTCAGTATTTTGTAAGTTTTAAGTACAAATGTTTCTAGAGCAAGCCCCAATTTCCCAATTGAGATACTGAGTTTGTTTCTCAAATGACATTTTTGCAATTATTTAGACATTGTAGCGGGCCCCTTTACTAATTGTGTGAGAAGATAGCATGTGATGAGATGACAGAAGTTTTTCCTTCGTTATCTCCGTCATCTTCATCCTTCCATCTTCCTTCCTTATTCCTTCTCATCAACAATGGTGGATTCATCCCTAAGTCCCCACCAACAAACAAACACCATCCTCAACACCAGTACACCACTAACACCGCAACAAATCCCGACCCCAACACATCGATTCCGACGGCTTTGCCGTCGAATTTAACGAAAAATCCTAAAAAAAATATGTAAATTAAGGGCATGGTTAACCATAAATGGTAGGTATTTGTCATTATTTGTGAGTGATTTCTTCATTGTTGTAGAAAATTTCGACCTCCATTAGTGAAGGATTCTCGAACTTCATTGTTGAGGAGAGATGGGTATGTTATTTGTGGGTTAACGCTGTTAAGCTTCCGTTAGTCCAAAAAGGCGAAAATACCCAATTGAGAAACATACAAGTTTCTCATGTTGAGAAACATTCAAGTTTCTCATGTTGAGAAAGTTGTATTTTCTCATGTTTTTATTCAGGAAAAGGTGGTATCTTATTAGATCTGAACCGTTGTGAATCTCGATATTTCTTTCTTTGTAGCAACTGAAATGACACTTGGTGATTTACGTGGAAATATTAGATGATTTTTTTTTTTTTTTTGGTAAATTTCTCATATCTACCTTGAAATATTATGTGATTTATGTCGGCTTGTGTGTGAGATTACCTACCTTACTGACAATTCGAATGTTAAGAAAAGTGTTCTTAATATATCATAATACATTTCATCGACTAATTAATACATAAGATGAGACTTTTAAAAGTGTTCTTAATATATGATTTGTAATTTGTACTCCGTATAAGGAGTTCTTTATTGTTAAATGCCTTAATGATGTGTTTGTAGTTTTACAAAATTATACTACCTCCGTTTATTTAGCTGACGCATTTCTTTTATCACTCTTGCTAACGCACTATTTTAACGATTAATATTTCTAATTATCGACATTGTAAAACTAAAAAAAAAAAAGAGTAGATATTATTAAAATATACATTGAGACGATTCATACATGATCTCACATGACTATGTTTTATTGTAGCTATAAATCACAAAAGCTAGTCAAAGTATAGTTTGAAAGTCAAACGATGTTTGAAAGTCAAACGATGTCAGCTAAAAAACACGGAGGAAGCACGTGTTTAAAAATTATCATGCGTATTTTTTAGTAATTTTTGTAATAATCATGTTTTGGCTTACTTGTCTTATGGAGTACTAAAATCTGGGCTAATTACCCCCTCCTAATTAAAATAGAAGGTCCAATAACGCTCATAATGATATATTCATGGTTTGAAGGTCATTTGATGATGGCAAGATACTTGTTTTTCCGAAATCTACTAGCTGGACTTACAGACCAAGGAATGTGAGGAATTGCTAGATATCACACTCTTTGTAGGCAATAGTCCTGCTACTTCTGTTAAGGCTTAAAGGTTCAATGCATGCAAACCTGATTCTATATTTTCAATGACGATGGTTTATGCCATTACTTGTAATCGAGTTTATACAACCTGTAACTGTTGGCACGACTGAGGGCTTCAAAAGCCTAGATGTATACCGTATTGTTTAGCTACGAATCTGGGAAGGGAAAACAAAAAGGACTCAATTTGCAATATACACCTCAAGGTAGCTAGCAAGCGACTAGTACACATATTCCGACCTAGAAAGGGAGACAGCCAAGTTTCTCTTGGTTGGATCCCCCATAGTAAGCTCAATTTTCTCATGTAGGTTCATGTAGATGGCACAGAATAACAAAACTATCTTGAAAAAGCTCCAACTCTCAAGGTTGTGATGGACAAGGGGAAGTTGGAGGCTTGAAATCTGGATACTGCAACAAGAAAAGGGTGAAAATCAAAACTAGTTCAGCAATTTCTCAAAGAAGAAGAAAGAAAAGGAGAGATAATTACTGCAGCGTATGGCGAAAGCGGCCTTGGATGTGATACTGTATTAACTTCGTTCTGGGGTGTGGAGTTGATTTCTGGGGCAGGTGCTTCTGCTACTGGTTCAACGGCAGGCTGTGCAGTTACTTCTGCTACTGGTTCAACGGCAGGTTGTGCAGTTGCTTCTGCTACTGGTTCAACGGCAGGTTGTGCAGGTGCTTCTGCTTGTGGCTCAGGGACAGATTCAGCTTTCTGGAAGCTGTTTTCAGCAACAGCAGCTTCAGGGGCTGCCTCTGCAGGTGCTGGAAGAGACTTGCTATTCATGCTTATTGGTAGAAGGGCGGTTCCTATTTGCTGCAATCAATATTGGAAATTGAGACGATAACATCAGAGAACTTGACGTATCAATTAAAAAAGCTTAAATCTGCTAAAACCCCCATTCATATTGGAATAAATGTATTATTGAATATCGATGACTTACCTTTATATCTGAAACGAGCTCATTGGGAGCAACCTTGGTGGTCAGGAATTCATCTACTTGTTTCAATGTTTGTTTTCTATCCTGTCAGGAGAAACCAGAATAACATAAGTAAAATCAAATTTGTTAGATACTCGTACTGTAGTTAAGTAGAGGATGCTAATTCTACCAATGCAATTATTCAGATTTTCAAAAAAAAATCATATAAACGATAGAAGGCATTGATTGGGGCCAAATGGGTATCCAATGGATCAATGATCAATTTTTTTCAGACATGAACTGTCATTTGTTTCCAATGTTAAATGCTTCAAGCTTGAATAACATAGGCTATGTTCTTTTCACCTTAAGAAATTAAGTTTCAGTAATATCAGTTACAACAAAGCTAAGTTCAAGTCACAACTAAAATCAGTACGCATTAGTTCCAATGTATTCGGATAAAGGTGAAAGAACGAACACTTAATAATGTTCACGATAGTGTTATATGCCTAAAATGTCCAATAGAAACGACTTACCTCTGCAAATAAAAGCTTCTTGCTAAGCAGCTGAACTATTGCTGCAGAGCCTAGTAGTTGGAGAACAGTTTCCATCTGAAAAGGAAAACCAAAGATGATGAATTACTTAAAATAAGATTGCAAGTCTCTATTCTTGAAGTGAATATAAAGATTTAACCTCTGTAAAAGCCAACAAACCCAATCCAGCAGCTGCTGCTGCGCCAATCCCTAGTACTGGTAATGTATCAGCGCTCTCCTGCATTTTAGAAACCCCTTGAAATTGTAAAAATGCAAAAAAGGCTAACATAAAGAAGTTCTAAGCAGAAAAAGAAGGTTAAATACAAGTTGGGTCATTCGGCTAAAAAATACTCCCTGTGTCCTATAATTTTCTTCACAGTTCGGCTTCCTGATCAAAGTTCTTCCATCAACTTTGATGGAATTGTTTAGAATATATTATTTCACATCATGTGGATAGATTTATCTTGAAGAGTGAATACAGTGAATAGAAAAGGTGAAGAATTCAAGAAACCAAGGACTGAAGGAAGTATGCATTAACTAAAAAAGTTTGGCCCCAATGTTTGGAGCTTCAAAGCAAAGCAATTTCCTGAAAAATAGTAAATCAAATAGCCATATCTAGCTCGAAGTACTGTTTCCTTTGAATCTTAAGCAGCAAAAAGATATACATTCATAGAAGAGCCAAGAAACATACATCAAACGCACCACCAAATGCTTCCGTCAAACCACTAAAATCAAGGCTGAAAGTTTTCTTTGGTACAAGCCAAGGGAGACTGCTATTCTGCAATGCAGCAATTCATCTCATTAATCCAATAAGTGAGTATTGATGCAGCAATTCATCTCATTAATCCAATAAGTGAGTATTGAAGTATCGACGTTTAAACTCAAAAGACAAAAGAAATACTGTATAACATTTGAAAATTGGAAGAAGTAACAGCAGGACAGACCATCCATCCGCGAGGTCCCTCTGCTCCATCTTTGATAGCGTAAGCGGATTTGAACCCATTTGCAGTCACCAACTCTGCTACTAATTCAGAGTTTCCATCGAATCTGACAGAATCACATAAAGAAAACAATGGTATTAACAATCAGAATTCTGTTCATGAGATCATCGTCATATAATATCCAAATTTGGACAGTTCAGAAGATTTCTGTAGAAAATGGTAACAATGTACAAGTAGTAGACAGCTGTTGCAGATTAGACAGCATTAACAAAACACAGTCTCTCCGTAATTGTGAGGCCTGAGGGTAATGCTATGTACAATGTATGTCTTCCCCCAACCCCACCCCGCCTAAGCCAGGACACTACGGTATATTTAGAAGTATTAAGATAATGTTGATGTTATACATCATAAAACATCAGTCGGAACAATATCTTTATTATCATAAGGGTTAGGTTGCTTACATCCTACCACCCGTTTCCCTATCAAGGGTGCTGTCAATCCTTCAACGTATCGAGATAATGTTGATTTTGATATGGACAAGTTAACAATGTATATAAATGGCCCTAGAATCTATAATCAAACTCATCAAACAATGTATCACACACACTCAAACTGATCTGCATACAATAAATTCTAACACAGGCTGAAATCGAAAAACACTTCAACCAATTATTAACAGAAAGTCAGAAATGATTAGATTAGCTTTGTAAGGATACAAGGAAATTCAAACCAAATCAAAAATATAGAAAGAAAACTAAAATAAAAAAAATAAAAATAAAAAATTGAGCTAAGGGTTCTCACTTGTCTAGGATATACAAAGTAGTATTCTCAGGATCCTTAAACTTCAAAGACAACTTTTGCAAGAACCCAGGCTTATCTTCACCTCTATACACAATCGAAACCGCCTTCTTCTTCAATCCTCGAATATCGGGGCTACCAACTTCCCTCAACTCCTTTAAGGATCTAATATCAAGAAGCTGAGCATTAGGCTCATCAGCCAACTTAGCATATGCAGTTTTAGCAGACTGAACACCAAATGGCTTAGGTTTACCCCCAAAAACTTGAGATAAAACCAAGGGAACAGCAATTACAGCAACCCCACCAGCTATAATTAGTGGGTTTTGAACAATTGTTTCAACAACACTTCCTGCATCAAATTCAGCCCCAGGATCTGCATTTACTGATTGTTCTAATGCTTCTTCATATGTCAGAGCACCAGCAAATTTAGCACTGAATGCAGAAGAAGCTAAAAGCACTAAACTTCCATGAATTTTTCTTGCAAAATCTTCTGCAAAATTTGGTGGGTTGATTGAAATTTGTGGGAATTTAATAGAGGGAAGTGTTGGAATTTGTGAATTTTTTCTGGGTTTTCCTCTTTGATCATGAACAACACAAATTGGCTTCAATCCTACTACATTGAGGGCCTCCATTGCATAATTTTTCCCAGGAAATTTCTGAGGCTCTCAATTATATTCCAATCTTTGTTTTTTTTTTTTTTTTTGGTTTTTTGTTTTTTGTAAAAATATTGAAGAATATTTAATTCACTATGAAAGATACTTGTAAAAGTTATGAAGCTATCTTTGTTACAAGTTGTAAGCTAAGCCAAAAGAATTGGCTTCACAGAATGCAAAGTGTTTTTGGCTGGGGTGGAAGGTGATGACATGGAAGCAAGATCATTGGTTGTCCACCAGATGGTTGACACGTGGCATGAAAGGATGAGATGTTGCTGATTGTCTAGAATGCACGATGTCAGATGATATCATGTTAAATATGATTGTGTGGATAACATTTTAGATGGTTTTACGAAGAATAAGTTAGAATTTCTGGGAAAATACTAGAGCTTAAGCTTAATAATACAGTACCAGAGTTACATGGGAGTACAGGCAGAAAGATCCGAAACAACCATCTGTTTTGTACTACGGAGGTAATTTTCCAAATTTTTTGTACTACAACTCTACGAGTACTACCCCGCTTTTTATTTTCATCATCGACAATAATCTAATCTGGTATATTTGATGAAAATGACCCTAACTTAATGCAAATCTATAAATCATATATCAATATACTCCGTATAAAATTAAATAATAGAAGCAAATTATTGCAATGAAGTTAATCGTATTTTTCTTCATAATTAAAAAATGTATATAAAAAAAAAAAGTAAAATTGTACCGTACTACATACAAGCTGTTTGTTCTGTTTCAAGCAAAAAGGGAAAAATTTACTAAAACAATATTAAATATTAGGGAAGAAAATTTTGCTAATGATTTATTTTTCAAAATACGTAGTAACATTATAAATTTAAGTGTTTTAAGCATTGCATTTAGCCAAGTTCCTAAGATAAACTAACCTAGAGTATCTATTATGCATTTATGCATCAAGGCACACCTAGCAATAGATGCACCCACTCATATTTAACAACTAATTAAATGCTCCATATATGATCATGTGAGCTATTTTAAGGTGAGATTGTGCACTTTATTCATGAGGTATAAACGAAATTTCTTTTAAGCTTGTTTTGTTTGAGTAAAGATAGTTCACTGATAACTGATACAACAGTGATTTGAATGCAAGCTCATCATAACACTAAGTTCACAAATGTCAAGTGTACAAAGAATAGAACTTAGCAAATCATGCCATAATTAACTTAGATATACTTCGTACAATCGAACCAACCTTTTTCTACTCTTTATATCCAACTCTGTAAACTTTTCAGTGAGCTTGAGTCAAGCCTGTTACATCCTAGAACAGCTTAACAAGCAAAGCTATTACTAGGCTAATACACTAGTCTATCCTAGATAGATAAGACAGTAACTTCAGGTAAAACGCTGGGTTGGGTTAGAAGTGTGCTTAAAGAAGATCAAAGAAATAATCTAGTCCTTGGCCTATTTCCCAGATTGAGATGCCAGCCCCCCATGAACGTGCTTCCTTTAGTCGCTCTGCTATTGACATCAAAGTAGGATAGAAGACTGCATGTTCGTGATGTTGATCATCAGAATACACGAAGAAATGCTCCGCAAAGTCCTTTTGCCACCTCATGGTGGGTTTGTATTGGTCCACTAAAGAGAGATAGTCCCTGCCGGTAATTGCTCGAGCACCACCACCTATAGATTGAGACAGCCGTCAAAAGGGTCTTAAGCTCTAAAAGAAACTAATACACCATAATGTACTCAGTACTCAAAAATATGCCAAGCTAAATTAGGGCACTTCTTCCACAAAATTGCTTGTTCTACAACTTGTCCCAAACACTCCCTCAAAACCAGTATTCGTACTTGGAGGAAAGACAATAGGTAAGCTAAGCCTTTTCAAGCAAATTCAAATTAGCTAATCAAGAGGTATACAAAATAAGGACTGCATCAAGAATATGATGCTTCCACTATTTGTATAGCTGAAAAAGCAAGTACAGGACCCCTTTCTAAGACCGTCCAAGTCAGTACATTCATCATTCCTAGTATATTCCTCAGTAAAATGTAACACTAACTTATGATTTGCTCATTGAATGCATTCAAAAGAAGAGAAGATAAAGAAACAGCATACCTTCAGCTACTACATAATCGTTCCCATAGAAATTGATTCCAACAAATATCTTGTTTGCAAGGCTCTTTCCACCTTCACCAACGAGGAGTTTTATCGTGGAGTGAACCCAAGTCAGTGGTGCATTAGGACCAGGACTATAAGAACTTGAGTAGTCATATGTCATTAGTGAGAAACCATCTACAGAGTCACTGAGGGTCCGCAAATCCTCTGGTCCAAAATCATGAGCTTGAAGCTTCTCAGACTCTGAATATGGAGGACCAATGACATACACTAGCTGCAGTGGCTGACCATTCCTTTGTGACCTGACATTATGCAGGGAATCTCCAAGTTGCTTTACGAATTGTAGTGCCTGCAAATCCCAAAGCAAAACTAAGAACATCACACAATCTATGGCATTTTAGTGACCTCGTTTTCATTCATGCACTGTAACAAATTTGCTGGAAAACCTAACTTGTGCTTCTTGTGTGATAGAGTTAGATTGTCTTTAACTCCTAAGAAATAAATCAAAAGATTGAATGGGTAAGATTTAAGAATAATATAGATGAAGAAGCAAAGCACTGGCATATCTTGTACAATAAGAATCTAAAATGCCCACCCCTACCACCCTGCTTTCAACGTGGAAGAATTCATAAAATAGTAACAGTCAATAACTCGGTCATATTCAACAGAATACAGTCCCTGAATTCTGTAAACCCACAAATTCATGCAACAACAGTGGTGCAGCATCCCCATCAATCCCAAGAACCTAGTGAGTAATTTTCCATTTAAGAGCACTTATGTGTCCAAGGAACAAAGGTGAAGGGTCTAAATATAGAATACTTTTTAAAAGTTGTAGGCATTGCTCAGGCATAATTAAACATGAGCAGTTCTTCCAAGGAATTAAAAAAGGAAGTCACTAATAGCACGATTGAAATAGATTAAACAGTTGATCTCTAATTAGATGGTATAGAGAACATAAGTCCTATATTACCAATTTTCGCAAAGAAGCATCATGGAGAACACCATGAGCAGCCCATCTTGACCAAGATTCTAGGACAATCCCATCATAGCCTATATCCCTGTGCAAAAAAGTATGTAAACAAACGGTGAGATATGACGATGCACCAAAAAACTGTTATAGTGCACAACATTAACACAACCATCAGCATCCAAATTCCTGTACTCATTTTGACTTTCTTCCAAACCAAAAACCTAAGCTGAAAATTATATCTTAGAAAGAACAAAATTCAGAATAATATGCTTACTTGCACTCTGTTATAAGCAGGTCAATAGCTTTGTCCCTTTGTTTCTTGCTTCTGAGCAGGTCCTTTGGCACTGCTTCAAGGACTACTCTTGGTAAAATCTACACATCAAAAATCAAAGTTCATTCAAGAAAACAGATCATCCTATTAACTTAGACATTCCACAAAGAATAAATAAGTGGAAAGAGAATCTACTCACAAAGAATAAATAGTATAAATGTATTTTTCAAATTCATTATAGTTGCTATATGCACTTAATTATTAATCCTGATACTAAAAAGTATGCTGAATGGCAAAGATGAAGTGACATGCAGAAAGAAATTTGAATTCATGACTGCAATATGAAATTTTCATCTAAGTACAATAAGCTGGCCTGTTACCTGAGCATTTCCTCTCAGTCTCAGCTCAGACATCCATCCTGTATCAGCATTGTGTCTTCCCTCGAGAACTAATTTTGTCCCTTGACTGACCACATGTAAATTACAGTTAAAAAAGGGGGGGGGGGGGAAGGTTTAAATACATGTAGAAACATTGGCAACAGGAAGACAATAAACAAATCCTCTCTTCCCCTTTCTCTTCATCTCTCACACACACAAAAGAGGAAAGAAATGCAGATAAAAACAAATAGATTGATTTGTGTTGCACCCAAGGGGACAAAAGTATAAAGAAGAGGAAATAATATAAGAGCACAGCAATTGTCATCTACTGAGTATATGAGCTCGCTTGCAAATTGCGAAATGTGTTCACCACAGTCCACAGCATACCTCTTAAGATCGTACCATACAGGAGATAGATGTGTAAACTTGGGGCAGAACCTTTTTGCTAGATCATAACCAGCCGAGTTCCTGCACCGTTTAATTAGGTTGGAACTATAAGTATTGGACCCTGTTTTAGCAAAAATAAAGCAACAGAGAAATGCTTGATTGAAACCTAAAAGGAAAAAAAGCAATAAGCAATCAAGGCTAACTCAATCACCAATATAAGGTTTATTAGGATACTAATGAGCTATTATCATCCAATTGCAAAGTTTAAACTTTAGTCCTACATTTGTTAGAGAGATGCTAGATTTGTTGCTTAGACAGGTTCCAAACCCCATTCTCCGCGGAATATAGCGTTCTCCCAGGCAATCACACCAAAGCTAATCCGAAAAACAAGTACTTAAGTTCACCTCTTTTCGGCTCATTGAGCTAGCTTTCGGAATTAGCTCGGCCAAATAAAAAAAATGCCCAAGCACAAACACATACAGAGCCATAACTAACCCAATAATGCAAATAGTCCCAAGGTCTTTCTAGAATTCTAGTGTCCTAAATTATGCCATCCTATAACCAAGCAAAACCCTAAATTACCACCCTCCCTCTGCCCGGAAATAAATAAATAAATAAATAAACAAATTAAGAACAAGAAAATTGCATGAACGAAAAAATTGGAGAGAGAAAAGTAAATTACCAAGGCGTAATGTAAGCTAATACAGGATTGGTGAAATGCCGTTGAGTAACATTTTCAGAAACCCTAGAATTCTCCTGCATTGCTTAAAATTACTCCAAACAATCAATGAAAACTCAAACTCAAACAAATCAAAGAAACCATCAACAAAATTATACAGAATAGAAATTTTACAGTGAGGATCTCCTGGAAAGTGACATCTTCTTTGACGAGACCTCGTTGATGCGCAAATGAAGGAGGAAGAGAAGGGTGGTTAATACGGCGGTACAAGAATGCGGATATGGCGGAAGATACGACGAAGACGACGGCGATGATGGCGAGGAAATGGTGGTTGTTGCTGCCATGGAAGTTGTTGGGATCGGATTTTGGGGGTTTAGGTTGCCGAGTTGACGAGTCGACTCGGTTGCGACGGCGAGTTGCGTCGGATTTTGGTTGTTTCTTTGTCATTGGAAATTGATGTCCTCGTCGGAGAAGATGATGAGATCAGTTGCAGGGGTTTAAGAACTTTTGTCAATACAGTGTAAACGACGTCGTTGCAGGCACTACTCTAGTGCGACTGTGAGTAGTATTAAGCCATGCTTACATTTTAGTCGGTAACGCTCGTATTTTAATATGAATGTAAAATCAACCATCACCGTTAAAATCTACTAACCAGTGTAATAAATACCACTAACTACTACTAAGAGGCGAGGAAAGGAGTACGAGGAGTGGAGGAACTATATCGGAAAACAGTAAAGGCAAGGGAATCACTAAAAACCATGTAATTTATTATTATTATTATTTATTTTGTGTTTGACGCAGATACGCTCGAATTCCTAAGACAGAAACGCTCGGAACATTCAAATCTGCCTAAGGAATTTGAAATTTTTAGGCACTCGTTTGTATTTATCTGCTAAATTTGTAAAATTCAACATTGTTAAATGCGACATGTTATTCGCCTTGCGTAATAATTTCCCAAATTACCTAAATTTATATGAGTTGATCTCTACCCTTATTATGGTAAATAGAAGTATATAGAAGCAAATTTAGAAGTGAGTTCCCTCTAGGCTCTCTCTTTAGAAGGGTTTTTTTTTTTTTTTTTTTTCCCTCTAGGTTTTTTCCCTTGGAAGGGTTTTTTTAGCTCCTATTGCTAGAATTTTCAATTTTTTTTTTTTTTGAAGGTTTTCCTTCTCATTTTTCCCTTTTCTCTCCATCTCTACCATTTCTTTTCCTCTTGGTCTTAGTTGTGAATCTTTGTAGGCTTTTACTGGTGGTAAGCCCAAAAAACCTTTTATTTGCTTTCAATAAATAGATTTTTCTCTTGAATTTATTTTCTTTTTATGTTTGTATGGCGAGATTTGAAGATTTATGGTTTCATAATCTCTACAAGAATCTAGAGGACCACATGAGTATTTTCACTCAAACGATTACACATCAATGGATTTCAAGCCAAATTAGTGCGAACTCACAGATTGTATTGCTTCAAATGAAGTTTTTTATTAAGGCGATTGTTGATCAAATCTACGATGTATTTAGATGTACTTGTGTTGGAATTCGCGGTTTCTTAAGAATTATATGTAACTGCCGTTTAACTATATTTTATTAATGAAATCCCTTTCTTCTTGTAAAAAAAAAAAAAAAAAAAAAAAAAAAAAAAAAAAAAAAAAAAAAAAAAAAAAAAAAAAAAAGTATAGAACGGGGCCTTAGCTTTAACAGTTTGACTTAATCAAGTGCTTAACAAGTTACTCTGTAACAAAGATAACCTTGTTTACTCTCCTAATCGTATCGGCTCAACCAATAAGTTCCATCCTAAATTACAGACAGATAAAACCTTATCCACACACATTAACACCATAACAATGGTGGTCCAAACATGGAAAACCCGCCTAAAATTCCCGCTTAACTCTCATTTCTTCACACACCATCTTCAATTTCTCCAATGGAAAAACTTGCTGCCATTACTACTACTTCTAATACCTTCACTTCCCCTGTTCTTCAAACCCCTTCTTCCTTCTGGAAGCTTCCCAGAATCAATTCTTATAATTTACAGCTTCCCCTTGTTTCTGATTACTTTGATGATCCTGGGAAGATTAATTCGATTACTTTAGTCAATCAATTGCATGCCCAGGTGATTAAATTGCCCCAAATGGGGCATTCCGATGAAATTTCCCAGGTATTGATTACTTCTTACTTGAAATTTCAAGATTTTGAGTCTGCTTTGATGGTTTTCTTTCGGGGTTTTGGGAGGAATTTTGTGGTTTGGAAGTCGTTTTTGGAGGAATTTAAGAGTTTTGGAGGAAACCCAGTTGAGATTCTTGAGGGTTTTTGTGAATTGCATGGAAAAGGAGTGGAATTTGATAGTAAAATTCTTACTGTTGTGTTGAAAATTTGTGCAATTTTGATGAGTAAATGGTTAGGTGTTGAAATTCATGCTTCTTTGATTAAGAGGGGTTTTGATACGGATGTTTATTTGAAGTCTGCATTGATGAATTTTTATGGGAGGTGTTGGGGCACAGGTTATGCAGATAAAGTGTTCGATGAAATGCCTGAACGAGGAGTCGCGCTGTGGAATGAAGCCATGGTAGCGGCTATTCAGAATGAGAATTATATGAAGGCGCTGCAATACTTTCAGGAAATGCAGTTTATGTCTGTGAAAGCTGATAATTTTACTATTGGTAAAGCTTTACAAGCTTGTGCCAAAGGAAGAACTATTGATGAGGGGAGGCAGATTCATGGGTATATGTTTAGAAATTATATGGAAAAGGATTTAGCAATATGCAATTCTTTGATCAACATGTATGCAAAAAATAACAAGGTAGAACTAGCTAGGAAAGTTTTCGATTCTATGGATAACTACAGTTTATCATCATGGAACACGATGATATCTGCTTATGCTTCGGTTGGTTCTTTTGATGATGCAATGGAGCTATTCCATAGGATGGAGTTCCACAATGTGGAACCAGACATAGTAACATGGAATTCCCTCTTGTCTAGTCATTTACAACATGGGTTATACCATCAAGTTTTGAACATTCTACGCAACATGTTGGTGGCAAAATTACAGCCAAATTCGAGCTCCATCACCCCTGCAATTCAAGCAATTAACGAATTGAATTGGATCAAATTAGGGAAGGAAATGCATTGCTACGTTCTTAAAAATGGATTTCATTGTGATTTGTATGTGCAGACAACATTATTGAACATGTACGTCAAGAATGGTGAACTGATTAAAGCTCGAGCATTCTTTGACCTCATGAAGACTTGGAATATTGTTGCCTGGAATTCTTTAATATCTGGTTATTCCTCAAACGGTCTATTTGATGATGCTGTGAGGTTGCTGAACCAGATGGAAGAGGAAGATATAAATCCAGATATAATGACATTGAACTCTCTACTTTCTGGATATTCGTTGAATGGCCGTATAGAGGATGCATTAGCTGTGGTAGAGAAAATGGAGATTTTGGGAATGGAACCTAATGTTGTTTCATGGACTGCTCTTATATCAGGATGTTCACAAAATGGAAAATATAAAGATTCATTAAGTTTTTTCAAAAAAATGGTGGAAGAAGGTATAAACCCTAATGCTTCCACTATATCTAGCTTACTTCAAGCTTCTGCAGGTATGTCTTGCCTACAAAAAGGTAAAGAGATCCATAGTTGGTGCTTAAGAAACAGGTTTGATGAAGATGTGTTAGTGGCCACAGCTCTTATGCAGATGTACATTAAATCAGGAAGTCTGCAGAGTGCCTCTGAGATTTTCCGGTGGATGAAAAACAAGACAATTGCTACTTGGAATTGCATGATTATGGGGTATGCAGCTTACAACCATGGAGAAGAGGGGATTATGCTTTTCAAGGAAATGCGTGATCTAGGAATTCATCCTGATGCCATAACTTTTACTGCTCTCCTATCATGCTGCAAGAATTCAGGTTTACTTGATGAGGGCTGGAAATATTTTGATAGTATGAAGGCTGAATACTGCATAGTGCCTACAATTGAGCATTACTCGTGCATGGTTGATCTTCTAGGAAGAGCTGGATATCTTGATGAAGCGTGGGATTTCATCAAAACAATGCCTGTTGAACCAGATGCTTCTGTTTGGGGTTCGCTACTTCAATCCTGCCGAGTCCATAACAACTTGAAACTTGGGAAAATTGCAGCCAAAAACCTCTTTGAACTAGAACCAAAAAATTCTGCTAATTATGTTATACTGATGAACTTATATACAATTTCAAGCAGATGGGAAGATGTGGATCGTGTGAGAGAAGAGATGACTGCTCAAGGACTGAAAATTCAATTTGGGTGGAGTTGGATAGAAATTTACCGTAAGGTTCATATTTTCAGCGAAGAAAAACCTCATCCAGATACAGGAAATATATACTTTGAGTTGTATCATCTGATCTCTGAGATGAAGAAAGCAGGTTATATCCCGGATATCAAATCAGTGTACCAAGATATTGATGATGCTGATAAAGAAAAAGTACTGCTATCTCATACTGAAAAATTAGCCATAACCTATGGGTTGTTGAAGATGAAGGATGGTTCACCAATCAGGGTGATTAAGAGCACTAGAATGTGTTCTGACTGTCACACCGCTGCAAAATTCATCTCTGTGTTAAGAAAACGTGAGATTATCCTTAAAGATGGTGTTCGGTTTCATCATTTCCAGGAAGGAAGATGTTCTTGCAATGACCATTGGTAGCAAGGGCTCTAACTTGTTCTTAATTAGGATGTATATGACTGGATTATAGACATAGTGAACACACATTTTTTGTTTCAAAGCTACGAGTCATTTGCTCTGTTCAGACTTTAATACATGGTTTAGTTAGCAAATTTGAGAAAATATCATGCATCTAGGTTCCTCCTCTATATTCTTACAGATGGGTGTATAACTGTATTAATTATGTACCAAATATTCTTAAGCAGTTAAGCACATGTGTACTTTTAGGTACAAGTGTGTTTCTTTAATCCAAGTCTGATGAAAATTATTGTGTTAGTTGATGCAAGCTTTTCTCCCTCTCTTTCTTTTGCTTATTTTCTCATTTCAGGAGGTTCGATTGAGCAAAAGCGCTAAGAAAATGGATGAAATTGTATCTAATGCATGGTACAACCGGTTTATCAATCATTTTTTGGATCAAATCGGTTGTCACGATTTTCTTTTTGCTGCACTTCTATATAATTGTTTACTACCCCTTCTTTCTCCTTTGATTTTCCCCTTTTCATTCTTATTGTGATTATCACCTTTTTCAAATTGATAAACCTTGAATTAGTCATTTAACAACTAAATTTTAGACTCAAGCATCTCTTCCAATTCACTAAACAAAACACTCTCATTAGTAAATTGGAGATTTGAGCTAGTCAAACCTCTTTCAACCAAACACCCCCAACGAAATTTTTATCTTAACCTTAAGGGTACATTAATTGTAAAATTTACAAAGGACCTCCAAATCGTTAAACATGACCTTAATTGCAATCATGAGATTATCCTCAAGACTAATGGAAAAAAGGACTGGAATTGGCACTCAACGACTCAAGATTCTTATTGTCACACAATATTTGATGATTTGAATTGAAATCTAGCATACAAATACAATGATACAAACACAAGAAAAGACAATGTATATGCAACGTGTGTGAATATAGTAAAAAATAAATAAATAAATTATGTGATAATTTCAACCAAATTTCCACATGTTAAGTAAACATGATAAATGGGACCAATTATAATGTCTCCATACTTCACCCCTTATCTTTTTTGCCTGGCAACTGGCGTATGTTGGATGTTTGGCTCAGTCTTGAAAAATTGATCGTGTGACCTACCATTGTTGAAGATTTCAAGTGCTTCTTACAGAAAAAGGTCATGAAGATATCACGACTTAATCTAATTTGGCTCATTGTTTACCCAAAAATATTCACTTCAACTATATTGTGTAAACATAATCCTAGTCTCCTAAGAGAGTTGGCGAACTTGTTTATATCAATATACTTTTCTTTAGACTAAAAAAGAAGAAAACACGATTAAAAGTTAGTTTAAGTAGGGTCTCAGACTCTGAAACTAAACTTCGGCAATAGAGATTATCTATGTACTCTACATTTCAAGATTGCGAGTGTAACAATAATTTAGCTGTAAAAAAGTGAATGTACTACCTTAGAGTTTTGTACTACAATAGCATATTGGCACTTGTACCATGTTGAAGATATGCTTCCATGAGATACTTGGTTGGCCATTGTTCATCTCAAGTGGGATTTTCATGGCGTAAAATTAGTGTCACTTTTTATTCCAGGTATGCTCGTTTTGGATATACCATTCAATAACTTCCACGTGCCACGTTTTTGTTCCTTTTATCTTTTCTTTTTGGTACACTCGTTCAATTGCTAGAGTATTCACGAAAACAAAGATAGTCCATGGAAATAATATGGAGTATTATTGAAGGGTACTTTTTTAAAATAAAAATCTACTTCATATATCTTATCAAAAATGAGATAAACTGAATTTTTTTGAAAACGGTTCAAAACATAAAGTGGAAAATGACTAACTTATCACATTTTATCTTTCTCCTTAATGAAAATTCACAAGTACCCATTAAATTATTGAATACTCCGTAGGAAAGAAGAGCGGTAGATAAGTTGTTTCGGAAAAAAGTTGTCCCATGTCCTAACATTAAAATCCTTAAGAGCAATGGACTTTAATTCCAGCTGAATAAGGTGCTTTTATATACCGACTTTCTTTAATCTAAACTTACTAGAAAGTTTGCGATAAAATCAAATTCTTACCTTATGCTGTTATTTTATTGCAACTTTCTCGTGCTCGGAAGCTTTAACTTGAGGAAGTAATTTACAGATGCAAACTTAATTACCTTCAAGTAGAAAAGTAACATTCACACTTGCCACTACATACATGATATGTCACTCTTGCAAGAGTGTAGTTCCATACATCAATTATGTACAACTGCAGCACTTGGAATAAACTTACATATACAGCAAAGGTTCATCAAGGATTGCTTTAAATACAAGCTCACATAAAAATTAAGTAATCATGAAGCCTGGGAGGCAACAGCTCCTGCATCCAAAGCACGACAAAAAAAGGATGCAAACAATTGTCCATGACAATCTCCTCGAAGCTTCAAGGAACCAAGCAAGGATCAACGAAATAAAGAGGATCGACTTTCAAGCAACCAAACACGAGATATTTATACTATAAATCGAGTTCCCTGTGCCTGCTAACATGCATTTGCCATCCTCTCTGAGACATCAGCTAATGATTTGAGGTTGCAGTTGATTAAGGCCTCAACAAAGTAGCATGTTTCCTCTTTCGTGTTCCCTTCTGGTACATCGACTACAAATGATTCTATGACTAATGTCCCCATCTTCCCATCGATTATCTCAGGGTGAACTGTAATGATCGAGGAGTAATTCTGCAACAACAAATGAGATGTTCGATTAGCACTTAATCCGCCAATGATAACACAATAATAGGTTAAGTTACTAGTGAGGATATCTTTTTCTCTTTAATCCTTCTAGATGCAGGGGATACACAAAATAAGTCTGACATTAAATTAACAAACATGACTTGGAACATTGCAAGGAAAAAATTATGCCAAAATGTTATGATAATGTATTTACCATTACCACTATTAGCTACAAGTACCTCCTAGCTATCATATGCGTATGTGTTATCTATATCTAAGCATCACTGATACACTCCTTGAAGACTATCGCTATCAACTCAGATAACGAACATTTGCTCATGAGCCAATATCTTTTGTTTCTTTATTTGTGAATCATTGAATTCAATTACTTTTTCCACTAAGACCGCCCTTATTCATGCCCATACTCGACTTTAAATCTTAAATTGGAAGTGGACCACGACGGGGATGAGGCTTCAAGCCTTTTCAATTTTTGTGTTTTTCACTTTTCCTATATGCCATTGTCTTCTTGCTTTAATTGGTCGGTAGAGGAATTTGCAAGAATACTGAGGTAAAATCTTTCTCGAATGTCACTTCAAACTCGAAGAGCATCCAACCACATACACCATATAATTAAAGCAAAATGGCCCAATCAAGCTCCACCTCCAACTACTTTCATTCATCGCTTAACTACATTGACAGGACTAAAGGAAATATGGATAGATGGTTCTAGTACACGTCGAATTCATGAACAACGGTTATTATAGACTTTATACTTGTTTTACTTTAGAGGTCAATTCAAAGAAAATGGATGGTAAATTTGTTCACAACTGACTTTTGGATATATCTTGAATACTTTAGCAAATAACATGATGTGCAAGAAATCCATGAAGATAATAAAGCAGAGCTTTCCAGCATGTCATTGGATAATTTATCAAAAATCTAACATTAATTTGATAAAATTACGAAAAAGAGCCACAATAATCATACCTTGAGCCTGTGATCACCATCAACAATTCGGACGCTGAGAATATGCTCTTCATCATCAAGAAGCTCCAATCTTTCAGTGCTAGTTGTGGCAGGAAGACCTGATCTAACATTCACTTCTCTTACACTTCCGATCTTAAGCTCCCCACTCGCTTTGCACCGGCTTATAAACGGCTTATACTTCTGAGGTTGATCAAATCTCCTGACCAAAGACCATACCTAACAAATACACAAGACATCTCCTGATTAACAAGATGAAACTAGAACCATAACAAACAACAAATCTTGTAACACAATGATGAAAACTCGATCAACTCGAAAATTTCATAGGACTTTTTTATGTGTTAGTACCATAACAAGATTAAAGTTCAATATTTCAGTCTGCTGCCTTGCTAGCTAGTTCCTACTGAACTGATACAATACAGATTTGGTATCAACGTTGTAAATTTTTTTTTGCTAATTCCTCCAAAAGCCAAACGAACTCAAATTTTAGTATATGCAGGAAAATTAATTACAGTTCATGCAGCAGTATATAGCATATAACAGTACATTTCTTGTAGCATTTTATATTTTTATTCCCCTTTGTAGATATACAAAAACATTTGTATACATTCGATGTACAGTTGTACATCGGGTAACTATCGTTGAATTTAGAGTAACTTTTATACTTTTTTGGGTAACTTTTATTAATAAAGCATACATAACTTTTATTTATATCAGGGTAACTTATATATACTTATATAAACTGGGTAACTTTCATTCATTAAAAAGTAACTTTTGATCATTTTAGGGTAACTTCGTAGCGGATGTACAATATTTTATTGTAGATCCAATCTTTTAAAATGTCTGTGATAGAAATAATGTAATATTATGACAACAATATATATACAAACAACTAACTATTCAAAAATCTGACCTAAACAATCGAACTTAACCCTAAAAAACTCCTTCGAATTACTTAAACAACAATCAAATGAGATAACATAAAAGAATAAACAGCATTATAGCATATAACAATCGAAACTTGAAAAAGATTGAATCTTTTAAATATAAATCAACATGAATATAGAAATATAAGTTTCTAACGTACCCACATTTCAGACCTAAAACAACAAACATTACAAAAATCACCCAGAAATTAAATTCACCAATTTTCAGATCAATTAATAAAACCCAGAAATTATATATCATAATAAACCAAATTCATAAAGGAATTAATGAAAATAATGCAAATGAATTCATTTGAAGGGAGAAAAAAAAAATGTCCCTATGTATATTACTTTCCACACTGTAACCTCAATATACATTTTGTTTCCATGCGGTAACCTTGCCGTTATCTTGCCGTTAAAAAATTCCGTAAATGAGGCCCACTCTCCATTTATTAATATTTTTTATCAATTTGCGCGTAAGAAAATATTCCGTTAAAGGTTTTGGGAGCTATATTGGCCCTTTTGGATCCAAATTGAACTCAAATTTCACAAAAAAAGTAACGTAAATGCCTCGTTTTGCGTATTAAAACGTGAACACGTAAATCGAGACATTTTTTAATAAGTAAAACGAGCCATTTAAGTTATTTTTTTTGCCAAATCAGAGCTCGATTTGAACCCTTAAAAACTAAAATAACCCCCAAGACCTTTAATGGAAGGTTTTCCAACGCACAGATAGATAAAAAAAATATTAATAAATGGAGATTGGACCTCAGAGCGTAATTTTTTAACGATGGGATAATAGCAAAGTTACCGTTTGGAAACAAAATGTATATTGGGGTTAGGAAAGTGATATATATTGGGGCACAACATAGAAAAGTGAAATTATAGAAAACCCAAAAAAAAAAAAATGATATAAACTTACAAGGTCAACTGGAGCCTTGATGTGTTGAGTAAGAGCAGAGGAACACTGATTAGCTCCAATTTTGTGAGTATGGTGTCTAGAAATGTATACAGACTCCATTTTATGACAAATTCAGAAGAAAATTAAAAACCCTAGAAATTTATTTACTTTGCTTCTTTTTCTTAGAAATTTGGAATAATATTTGCAAGAAAAATAAAAACAGAGGAGTTTAATTAAAAAAACATGATCATCTTCTTAGTTGAGAGAAGTTTCGTTTATATTCACATGAGTCATTTTCTGACCTTTTAATTATTTTGTGGTTGTTTAGGGTGAGGAAGGAGAAGACTAGGTTGACAAGATGGTGATAATTGACTGTGTAACAGACCAACAATTTTTGTTGATTGTGGGTGGGTTGAACTTGTGGGATCATATTTATACTGTGAGCTACTTCCAAGTTGGTGGTTTTGGCATCTTATTGGTTGTAACTTGGATAATCTTTTTTGTCAGTTTTTAGTGATTGTTCTATGCTTATGGGAACAGGTCAACACTCAGCACTAATTTGCCAAATATGAAGAAAAAAAAAATTAAGAAGAAAAATAAATATAAAAAAATAAAGAGTATATTGTTATTATTACTTTGGGCCTTTGGGGTTGTGGACTTTTGGCAAGGTTGAAGGATCGAATCTCCATAAGTCCACTTTTCCGGCCATTCGACTCTACATGTTGTGTTCCTTCTGTCTTCTTTTGTTTGTCTCGTTGAAGAGAAATTACCTTTCTTTTTTCATTATGAGAGACAAAAGTAGTGAGATTATATCATTGTATGTAGTGTTAGGATCCTGTATAACTATTTGTAATATGAGACAGATTTAAAAGTACAAATCAAAGTAAAATGGGACGAGAATTAAGGGATTGTGAGACTATGTAGAAATTGAACTAAATAAATGTATGTTGCCGTATCTAAGGAAATCATTGAATCATCATGTCATGCATGAACTAGCTCCATGAGATCAATCAAACGTATAGTCTTGCAATGTTAGGCTAGTATGTATCGTTCAAATTAATCCCTTGAACGAATAGTACATGATGTGCACAAAGCACATTATGCACACATAACCTCACAAAATGCAACTCGCATTGACATGTGGCATGTGTACACCAAAACGTGATGAGCACGTGAGAGAATGTGTGCAAGTGTATTGATACACCCACAATGTCATGCTACTATCGAAATTAAACTATATGGATTTATTAATACAAGTTTATCTTTAATATTGTTGTCTATCAAGTGGAAGTGTTTAATGGAATGGAACATGTGCCAAATAATTGCGATAAGAATTGGTATCTAAACCTCAAAAAAAGACACAAAATTGTAGGTGTTTTAATTGAAAAACAATCCACTTGATAAAATATCATCTCCCATAGATCGCAATAACGCATATTCACGTTTCACCTATCGACAAAATTTTTGGTTGCTATCTTCTTGACCAGAAAGCTAGCAAAAGTCGTGCTTATCTATTCATTTCTTATCCATTCCAACGAATGCACAAGAAATGAAAGAAAGAAGCCCACCCCTTTGACTAAAAATGTAGGCTATGTTAAAAGTAATGCAAATCTTTGTGTATATATCAATGAACTTACCAAAATATATATTTTCCTGATTCTCTATAATATAAGCAAATTATTGTCGGTTTGTTTGGTTGTAATTAACGGTTGTGATGACAATAATTTTATAAGTAATTTTGTGAAAAAGATTATATGTCAATGCCCATGATAATGATAGTTCTCCTCTAAATATCTCATCTTATTCACAAATTTTTATTATCATTCATTACCAATTGACCATATTAGAGGTAGTATTATGTGGTAATGAAAATTCATGAACAAAACACTCATTTGTAGGTGAATTTCCATTGACATGGAAATGACCATAGGATTGATTTCCTTGCAAAATTACATACAAATTCATTACCATTCACATAATTTATGACCGCTTACCGAGCATGTCATGAGAATTTTGGTGTTCACCAAGAGAATTGAAGAAGTTGAGACTTTAGCCCACTAGGGATCAATTTTAGCTTCTTTTTTTTTTTTTTTTTTTTTGAAACATACATATTAGCTTCATGAAAACAAGAAGTTTTTTTAATTACGTTTGTCAATGTAAAAAGTTAATGGAAATATCTTTAATCATACAAATGTAAAAAAAAAAAAATAAGTTTAAAATTGACTTTTAATTAAGCACACATCGATACGAGTAGAATCTAATAAGATCACACATGACTATATTTTTTCATACAGTATCTATAAATCACAAATAATGTTAGTTAAATTAAAATTGGTAAAAAGTGTCAAAAATTAAAACATGGAACAAAGACAGAAAAATTAATTCAGGCAAATGTTGATACTAGGGTTCGGTCCACAAACCTCTTATTATACATAATTAAATTACCAGCCCATCAACTACCGTAGGTCCGTAGCAACCAAACAAGTCCATATAACTATAATGGGCCTTATTCAAGATGCTTGATAGGGGCCTTGGACACAATAGGCCCGAGCAGAGCATCGTCATTAACTCATTATGTTCACCTAAAATATCAAATACCAAGTATGTCCCTAATTATTTTACTACGTATATTCTGTTACAATTTACTCCTTCCGTTTTTATATGATAGTCTCATATAAAATCAATCACATAAAATAAGAAAAAAGAATATTTGAAATCTAACATTAAAGTACAAAAACAGTTCATAAGTCATAACTAGATTTATGCCCGTACGATGCACGGGTCTCTATTAACAGTTAAATTTAACATTTAATATTCAATCGTAATAACAAAAATATTACTACATTTCACATTTTTTTTTGTAGGATTCTTTTGTAAAATATTTTATTATAATCATTTCTCATATTTCATTATTATTATTTTTTTTTTATCTAATCCAATTTTTTTTAATATTCATTAAACGTGAATTTGACTTTTTAAGTTTAATAGTATCTTTTTTATATATATACAAAATAAAATAAATTGTTTCTTTTCTCATATTTAGATAAAATTTCGAATATAAAAAGATAATATTTTATTTTTATAATAAATGTAAATTTTTAATTCTAATCCTATGTGGCGCTTTAAAATAATAATCCTACGTGGCATAATTCTACACGTAACGCTCTAAAAATACAATTCCTACATGGCACTCTAAGAATTTTTTAAAAATCAAAATCCTAGGTGGCTCTCTATAATCTTGGAAAATAAATCCCCTTTGTATATATACTAATTTTGTGCCCAAACGATGCCCAGATTGTTTATAAAACTTTAAGATAAATTTTTTGGCTTGAATGTTAACTACGGTCAAATAATTCATTCCGATAATGTAGGATATTTAGACATACGATATCGTATGGCTTATATTTATATAATAGTGTACTTTTTGTAGTTTTGATAATGTAGGATATTTATATCTACGTTTTAATTAACTTGAAATTATTTTTATTAAACTTAAATTATTTTCACTGAACTGAAAGTATTTTTACCAAACTAAAATTATTTTACATCTTAAAACTTACTTTTTACTGATTCTGTAATATATTTTTTAAATAAATTAAATAACAATGCATTTTGTATGCAGCTAGCCACACCATCTAGCCGGACAAAGTAACTCCTATAAAAATGACCGAGCTGAGTAACCCCTGTAATACTAACTAAGTTACCTCTAACACTGACTATGTAACCCCTATTTATAACAATGATTGAGTAACCACTATAACACTTACTAAGTAACCCCTATACTACTAACGAAATAACTATTGTAATAGTTGTTGGTGACACGGTTTGGCTAGCTACGTACAAAAGTTTGTGATTAAATATATTATTATAAATGGATATTATTTTAAAGAACCTTTTAAGACGAATTTGATGATGGAAATAGAACTGAGTTATAGGATATTTTTATTAAAAGTTATGATTAATTTTGTATATATGAAATATTAAAATTTTATCGCTAATAAAACTCTATACAATAATTTTATCTTAAAAAATCTATCCAAAAATCACTTGCTTAGTATCATATTTGTCACAATAATACCTATTTATCTCTTATCCAAAAAACTGGAATGCCAAGTGTCGCTATTTCGTGGTCTGGCTACGAAACCGGCTTTATTTATTAGTGATATATGATATGATGATATTAGATTTTATGATGGAATTAGAACCGAGCTATATGATCCTTATTGAAAGTTTTGATTAATTTTGTAAATGTGAAATATTAAAAGTATATCAATAATAAAACTCTATACACATTTTTATCATAAAAATAATTTATCCAAAATTTTCTTCCACACCATCATATGTGTCACAATAAAATCTATTTGTCGCTTACGTGGCTCGATACTTGGCGAAAAACAGGAATGTCAAGTGTCGCTGTCTCGTGGCCTGACTATGAGACCTCCTTTATTTATTAGTGATATGATGATATGATATGATAGTTTTGTGTCAAGGCGATGCCCAGATTGTTAATAAAATTTTAGGATAAACTTTTTGACTTGAATGTTAAATACGGTCATATAAACCCTTTTGATTATGCACGACATTTAGACATATACTAGGTTAGGTCTCGTGCCATGCACGGTAATTTTCAATAACTACTCTATAATTATTAACATTATATTTAATTATAAAAAAAATATATTTAAGTTACTACTTTGTAAAATGAATTAATTATGAAAAAGTCTATTATTAGCAAAATAGATAATTTAAAATACACATACATGTATATTTATATATATTTCACTAACTAATGTATATCATTTCTTCTTTTAACCCAACGAATATCTTACAACTATGTATCTAATTTGTAAATAGATTTACTTTTTACACACTAATACACTATTAATCTATTCCCTCTTAACCGGTATTTATTTTTCTTCTCAATAATCAACTGGCTTAGAAAAAAATTCATATCTTTCCTAGCAAACTTTTCAAACATAATTAAATATACAAATATTTAAAAAAAAATAATCCTTGTTGTAAAAATGAAAAGAGTAGTATATAGCACTATGTATGTCACAAATTATGTTAAGAATTTGATTTTCATTTTTTTAACTTTAGCTTATGGTATCAATATATATAGTGCAAGGATACATTAAATCTTTTTAATCTTCTATTTATACATAAGATTTGTTTTCTAAATAGTTTTTTTTTTTTTGAACTCACCAGAAAATGACACGTGTCATTGCTGGTGTGTCTTTTAGTATATAGTTATTGATACGATATCTTATCGTTTATGTATATAATAGTGTACTTTTTGTAAGTACTCCTTCCGTTTCGTATTAATCACAACACTTTCCTTTTACATCTGTTTCATATTAATTGTAACATTTCTATATTTGAAAAAGACCTACCA